TCGCGGCCACGCTAGCTTGCGCGGCGATATCCGCTATAATATCATGATAGTGAAACTTCGGCACATATACAAAATTGCTTCCAGTGTCTAGTACAACGGGCTCATTGATGCCAAGATGCACATGCGCAGAGCCGACTTGCAGGTTGTTGAGCTTCACCACATAACGTGCCCCTTCCACTGGGAGAAGGGGCACGTAATGAATAGGATGCTTGTAAACTCCTTCGTCGCCTCCACCTAACAGCAACTTACCAAGGAACAGCACGCCTTCTTCAGGACTCTTTGGTTCTTCTAAATAGAGTGCGAAAGTGCTGCTTCGCACTTTTCCAGTAGATCGCAACTGTTTCATCAACGGAGGGAATCCTTTTTCACCGGTAGCGGGTCCAAGACCACAAAAGCCGATCGGAGCATCTAAACCGGGGGGAGGTTGTTGATCAAACAACAATCCGAATGACAGGTCGATCAAGTCGGCAGAGCCTACGGTTATTTTTCCTTTGTGCTTGAATATTCGGCCATGCGCTTCATCCTCGAAGTCGACTGACATGATCGGCTCACGAGGAGCACACGGCTTTGAGCACTTATAACATCCAAGTGCCCACTGGTCACAATTTTTGCCGGTAACCTTCTCAGACCAATCCTTCCAAACAAAGAAGAAGTAGCCGCTCGCAGTATCAATAACAGCATACATAGGCTCATGACGTTCGTCAGCAAACTCATGAAAAAGCCCATACCCATATGGGATCAAATCATCATAGGATATATCTAGCGTGATAACTTGTCCATTGGCCCTATGCAGTACCATGAAGCACGATAGGAACAGCGAGACGATGCGACGATCCATTGGAACCTTGAAATACCTGGCTATTGTTGTTGTTAGTGTTGTTGTGATAACACTAGCAGTTGTACGCCACCAAGCACACGATCCTATCGCGATCGCTATGGAGAATAGCGCACGTCTGCGACACACGTGAATCCACGTGACGTGACGTCCGCTGTGACGTGACGCCTTTTCCGTCTTGCTTCCTTCCTTCGTTTGCTCTCATTGGCTCTTTCCAGCCTTTCTCAAAGTTGTTGCGTTCTGGCAATGATATAGTTAGACGGACTGTGAACTCGGGTGTAGACAACAGATGAAAAGTAGCTCGATGCTAGGAACTGCAGACAGACCGATCAATAGCGCAGTAAAACAAAGACTCCGGCTTAAGGAAGAGCGATCGCGCAGGGCGAGACGTGACGTAGTCTGCCTATCGGGCCCGGCTTCACGTGCCGCTAACACCAGGTGTCAAACGCCCCTTGATAAGCTTTAAATTGAATTGAATAAGTTTCGGTGGAACGGAATCACATTTGAGTGTCGTGAAGAGGAGGATGGTTCTCATGGCAAATGTGTGAGCAAGTCGAGTTTAAGTGAATTTGAATTCCAACGCTATCCTGCTCAATAGTTGGAACGCAGTTGATCTACCACTACGTTAGTTGAGCTCCTGTGAGTCACAGGCTGTAACTATACACTGGCAAAACACAACACTCATGATCCTGATGATGCCCTATAGTAATAATAACAAGAACAGTAGTAGGCCAGTGTTGCAGAAATAGCTCCCGTATACGAGCACTACAAAACGATTATTATCATCATCATCTACTTCTAACCCTCCGCTACCTCTGTGGAAGATTCTCAGGGAGACTGCGAGGAGATTGACCCGCCCTGCTCCCCATCATCACCAATGACGACAACAACAACGACGACGACGACATAAAAATATAAAACAATCAAATTATCATCTCTACTATACTTGAGAAAATTAATAATAATAATCACCATGATGAGCTTTCGCTCACACCACGTCGTTCACAGCGATAGGCGCAGACGATTCGCGCCGTATTCGTGTCGAGAATTGAATTATGAGAATCGCAAATGCAAATGTGACGCTGATAGTCTCCGCCACAAAGCCGAAAACTGCCTTAAGAACAACCTGAGCAACAAGACCAGCTAGGCTCGGGAGTTTCCTCAGGAAATAAAGAAACTCATTCTTGAAATTGAATATTCTCATATATTATCGCCGACTGCATATTTTTCCAACACACTAGACAATACATGGTAGTGAGCCGAATCAAGAATATTGCTTAAAATTGAAAACTCCAAATGCGGTGCTTTCTTTCGTCCGCCCTGTTGTACAGTGTAAACCTATAGACGCTTTTATTACTATGAGTTTTCAACACATACGTAAGATTCTACGCCTTGCAACATCTCAGAATCGACTTACCAGTCTTGGTATCGTCCATGGAGTTGGAGGTATCATCATCAAACATGCCACGGGGATCGACAGAAACTGAGAAAACACTCGATGAACTTCATCGAGAGTTTTTTCAGTTCCAATTCTCAGTTCATCGGATGAAGGAGACTGGAGTTTCACAGCCACTGAAACACTAGTGAAAAGTATACTCCACGACTACTGTATATCAATTGATGTAATTGTAAAAAAATAAATGACCGACCGTGCAGAAAATACAATAAAATTCGTCTGCAGGAGATGCTTCCCACATTACTATCGTCAGTAGAATTCCTCCGACCAGTGCCATTCTCAACTGCCTCCATAGCGCTTTGACTGAAAACGATGAACGACAACTCAAATAATAAAATGCTGTATATGTTGAAATGGTGGAGTTTCCCCCTAGTGATATGAAAAACACTAGTGAAAATCATGTTTCATAATTCACTTCGCGGGAGATAATTGCATTATCGGTCGCGGAAACATACGCGTCTTATGATCTACTTGAAGTATCAAACCACTTTACGTCAAACGGTGAACACTATATGAATACTCGTGGGTGATAGCTAAACAGCCAGTTGCGCTGTCACTGTGGAAATTACTAAGGAAAGTATATTTTCGCTTTCCTCAGCAGAGCTCAACAGTTTCCTCACTAATTATCGAAATTCGGGTAGAAGTGTATATATATAAACCAACGAGAATTTCCCAAAATTCCCACACGTAGTTGACCATGTGCATATTTCCCCCCAGAAATATTACACTTAGAAATAGGATTCTGCGGATCACTGCAAAATATAGGGTTGTGACTCAACCACGAAGAACAGGGAATTCTCCACGTGATCGATGGGAATGTCTTGGGGTCAATTGCCAAGGGCGACCTGAAAACCTCATACCTTCAATTAGTGCAGTTGGGCATCGTCCACGTCCTTCATGCTCACGTCCCGGGTTCAACCCCCGCATACTACTCGACTAATGTTAGTGTTCACTCTCCTCACTAATTGTAAGAGTTCAGCTAGAGCTATAGAGAAACCAATAAGAACCCACCAAAAAATTTTCAAAATTTTCATATCATCACCAGCATACTTGGAAATACATGTTCACTTTCCTCTGCCGAGTTTACGAGTTTCCTCACTAATTAGAGAAATTCGGACAGGAGTTGACAGAAACCAATTTCCTCATTATTTTCATCTTGTCATCACCAACACATGTAGTTGACTATATGCATATTTTCCTACATTGTTTTTTTCTGGAGGGAATATCACTGCTAATTTACCAGAATTCCCTCATAATTTTCATATTGTCATCACCAACACATGTAGTTGACCAAGTTTATATTTTTCTACATTGTTTTTTCTGGAGGGAATATCACTGCTAATTTACCAAAATTCCCTCATAATTTTCATATTGTCATCACCAACACATGGAGTTGACCATATGCATATTTTCCTACATTGTTTTCCTAATGCTAATATCACTGCTAATTTACCAAAATTCCCTCATAATTTCATCAAATGTCATCACCAACACATGTAGTTGACCCTGTGCATATTCCTACCCGCCTTACTACCGCATCACTATATCTCGCATCGCCGCCGTCGGTGACAGCATCCACGTGATGCCAAACGACAGCAATGACGTGATACACAAATCAAATGCGATGGAGTTCGGCCACACCCAGACTCCTAAGAAACAACTAAACAGTGTTGGAGGAATATATGTTTTTCGCTTTCCTCGAGTGACCCCAGGAGTTTCCTCACTGATTATAGGAGTTTATATACGAGTTCGGGTAGAAATGAAGTTTCTATATTTCACGACCACTGCATATCGCGATTTTTTTCCACAGAGTATTACGCCACTTCACGGAAAACGGGTCAAACTCCAATGCGAATTTTCCGAAATTTCCTCAGAACTTTCCCATCATCACTACCCGCAGTGTCAGCAGTCGTACGGTAAGCAATCCAACCGAAGAGGGCATTGAATGCAGATGCTCCTATAATTGCTATGGACATCATCATCATCTGAAAAATATAATTTCAAATACAACGCTTAGTGCCAATTCGATACTATGCAAATGTGAAGAATGTGCGTTTTCTATTTCGAGATTAATGATAGTGAACAACTTGTCGCTATCATAGTCTCGAAAGGTTACTTTTATCACATCACATGTTCATACCAATGTTTACATTGTCTATGCGATATAGTTTCAGATCGGTTCTTATTAATCTCGGAAAATAACACACATTTGCATCACATCAAATTGCCACACACCGTAAATCACAAAAATCACTTTTTCCCCAAAAACGTATTGAACCTACCACATATAACCACAATGGTAACTCTATGAGATACTCCGTGCCTTTAATAAGACCAACGATCTTCAGCTTCAACCGATTCACGATGCCGCCGTTACTGAGCTCATCTGTATTTTCGCCATTTACCACTCGTGTTTGCTCACTAGGTTGAGCTCGAAACATGTAAATTCTATCTAGTTCGATAAACATGAGCATCATCATATTTACATATATTGGAGTTTCACCACCCTAGTGCTATGAAAAGTACTAGTGAGAAATATATTTCACGACTACTGCATATCACCGCGAATATCGCGTTTAACGCCGAGTTTTACGCCACTTCACGTAAAACTCAATTATTGTATATTACATCTATGTGGATGTTATCACATGAAGTTAAACATGTGCATATTTTCCTACACTGCTACGTTCTCTACCTTCATATTTTAATTTGTTATTCTCCTCAACCGGCCAGAAATATTATTGGAGTTTCATAACCCGTTTTACGTGAAGTGGCGAAATACTCTGTGAAAAACATCGCGATATTCGCGCTATGCAGTAGTCGTAAAATATGATTACCACTAGTGTTTTTCATATCACTAGGGCGTTAGCCGTAAAATATGTTTTGCATATCACTAGGGTGAAACTACGTCGGTCTAGACAGGAAATCAATAGTGTTCCTGTTGTCAATGCTCCACATTTTCGATCGATTTCCCTAATGTGAATGCCATCACATTAGGAACATCAATTTCACCATTTCATCAAATTCTGGATCCACGGTTCTGTAAATGTATCACTGCATTTTCATACTTCCTAATTTGGTTATGGTCACACCTCGACAGTTGTATTCTTGAAACTCTACTCTGTAGGAAGAGTTGCCGTTCTACCACATAAAACTATAATAATATTAGCCACCATTTGGTTGTCCTACGACGTGATGTGTCTCTGAACTCGACATAAGAAGAGGAGAGGGAAAGAGAGAGGCGGCAAGGGGAACCACCGTATAGCCAATGAGGTGCACGCATACACATGTGCGTGACTGCGAAGCTGTCTCCTTCCATCGCCTACATCACATTACCACATTATTAACATATAATAATATAATCAATATAACGTAGCATATTATTACCTCTGGTAGGGCTAGTGCGGCAATATATGCACATGGTCAACTACATGTGTTGCTAGGAATATAGAAATTTTGAGAAATTATCATTGATTTTTGTATACTTATACCCAAAATCGAGCGATTTTTCATAATATAGTGAGAAAACTTACGAGCT